GATGACCTTTCTGGAAACACCCTTGGGCTGAGCCTCCATTCGCTTCACTGGGGTAACCAACAATAGGGAGCTCCCAAGGACCCCACGAAAAGGCAGATTGTGAGGGGGAAACTGAGGCTCAAAGCATCCAGCAACTTGCCCAGATCCCACGGGCAGGGGGCAGGAGCTGGGAATTGGGCTCACTCCTTCATCTGGCAACTGTCCACTTGGGGCAGTGGAGCCAGCGAGTGGGGGGCGTGAGGGGAACACAGGGGAAGACCACCCAGCTCCCCGTGGGCCTGCCTGTGGGGGCACTTCCAACAGGAAGCGGGTGCTCTGATGAGGGGGCTTCAAGGGTCCAGGATGCTTCCTGGAGTCACGGCTCCGCCAGGCTTCCCGGAGTTGGGTTGGTTGGGGAGCTGGCATCCTGCCTACATTGGCATGTTGACAGGGTCCCCCAGCAGCCTCTAGCACCTGCTGTTAATCCTCGTGACTTCTCTCAGACCTCTACTGAAGTACAACAGACAGACGTGACCACCAATCCTCAGGGCACAGTCCACAGACGGTTCCTACCTAAACACACCCGTGTGACCAGTGCGTGACGACACAGACGTCACCAGGAACTGTGTGATGCCCTCTCCGGAAGTGTCCGCTGCATTATGGGAAGTTTCTGAGCTGAGCAATAAAGTTCCTTGCCATCTTCATTTCCCTCGGCAAGACTCCTTGGGAAAGCATGTGATGTGGGCGGAGACAGGGAGTGCCGAGCCATGTGGAAGATGGTTTGGCGTTCACACCAATCCTGGGTGCAAGGCTTGATGTGGTGGGTTTTCCCAGGGTTCCCATGGGGAGGAAATGCCTTCACAATGAACTGAATCCCACCTCCCACTGGGGGCTCCTCCTCCTCCTCCATCTGCCTCTCCTTTTTCTTCTCCTAGTATGACATCATATATTTGGTCACATGACATATATATTTGGTCTCTGACCCCGTTCCTGACACATGTCTCCTAGTGTGTCAGGCTTGCTGAGGTAATGGGAGAGTCTTTTGTTCCAATGAGGCAGCTCTTGCTGGGCTCCTGGTAGCTTCAGGACGGGGGCTGGTCACCAGCAAGACCAGCCCACAGTGAGAAGCTTAACATTCTCAGCCTCACCCCCATGCCCTGGGGAAGGGAGGGGCGGGAGACCAAGCCTGTGTGATGAAGCCTCCATGAAAAGCCGGGAACAGTGGGCGTGGTGGCTGACACCCATAATCTCAGCACTTTGGGAGGCCAGGGTGGGAGGATCATGACGTCAAGAGATCGAGATCATCCTCGCCAGCATGGTGAAACCCCGTCTGTACTAAAAATACCAAAATTATCTGGGAGTAGTGGTGCGTACCTGTAGTCCCAGCTACTCAGGAGGCTGAGGCAGGAGAATCACTTGAACCCTGGAGACAGAGGTTGCAGTGAGCTGAGATTGCGCTGCTGTACTCCACCCTGGCGTCAGAGTGAGACTCCATCTCAAAAAAAAAAAAAAAAAAAAAGAACAATGGGGTTCCGAGAGTGTCTGGGCTGGCGGGTGGCGCCTGGAGAGGGCGTGGGAGCGCCACACACTGTCTCCGTACCTTGCCCTGTGCATCTCTGCTGGCTGAGTTATCTCCTTGAGTAATAAGCCAGAAACGGCCAGGCACAGTGGCTCATACCTGTAATCTCAGCACTTTGGGAGGCCAAGGCGGAAAGATTGCTTGAGTTCAGGGGTTCAAGACCAACCTGGGCAACATAGCCAAATTGTCTCTACAAAAAAATACAAAAATTAGCTGAGTGTGATGGCTCATGCCAAGTAGTCCTAGCTACTCGGGAGGCTGGGGTGAGAGGCTTGCATGAGCCCAGAAGGCAGAGAGGCTGCAGTAAGCCAAGGCTGTACCACTGCACTCCAGTCTGGGTGACAGCGCCAGGCCGTGTCTCCAAATATAAAAATTTTAAAAATGTATAATATAAAATATTCTGCTGAGGGAGAGCATGAGAAGCCAGTGAGAGGAAGCAAACAGTTGTTCCAGTCTGTGTGAGCTGTTCCAGCAAATGATGGAGGCCAGGAGAGGGTCACCGGGCCTCGCGTTTGTCATAGCCAAGGTACACGCCCCTCGTGCCTGGCATCTGAAGTCAGGGCAGTCATGGGCAACCGAGCCCTTATCCTCAGCCTGAAGTGAAGTGCCAGAGGCATTATGAGTTAGAGTCTAGCAGAAAAACTATTTCTCCCGTACACCCAGCTTCTCTGGCCTCGGGCTCCCCCTCCTTCTTCCCAGTTCAACATCCCCTGACCCTTTTCTCATTTGGAGTAACTGAGTCCCTGGGCTTGGCCAGTGTGCCCCTCACTCAGCTGCCAGGGACCTGACCTCACTGGGTGGAAGGGAAGCTGGTGATAGCATGTGCCATTGCAGCACGTGACCCCGACACTGCACCCCCTCTTGCTTAGAGGAACCCCCAGCATCAGCTGGTGCAGTGACATCAAAGACTACCTTTCCCAGCCTCCCCTGCTGCCAGGCATGGTCACATGGAAAGAGGGAAGATGGAGCCAATGAACTGGGTGGGAATTCTGAGAAGTCTCCACACAGGGGTGGGGCCACATTCTGCTCTCCACTGCTCCTTCCTCATTCCTGGAACACAGATGTGAAAGCTGGAGCTCAAGTTGCCATCAGGGACCATGAGGCTGGGGGCTTCCCATGGCTATGGATGCTGCTATGTCAGCCCTGAGGAAGAGAAAACTCGTGGGTTAGGTGGATTAGGCATGGTTGTCTGGAGTTTCTGGGGTCACAGGCAGCCTCTCCTGGGCCTCACTAGTAGGACACACTATGACTTTGTTGAAACTGCAAGTCATGACTCACACTGAGGTATGCCCCGGTCAAGGAGTTTCAGAATTATCCAGTTCTTGGGTTGACGCTTCTCAAAAGCCCCTATCTTCTCTTCTGTCTCCAAAACTTCCCTGAAAACCCCTTCCCTGGCTGGAACCTGGGGCCTCTTGCCGTCTTACGAGAGTGGCTGTCCCCCAGAGAAACCCCAGGACACTTCTGCCTTTCTTCTTCCCGCTTGGCCTGCCATCCTGTCCCCACCCCCGGCATGCATCACCAACACCCACGGGTGGGGGAGGCCAGGACAGAGCCCTCCCCCAAGAGAGTGAGCAGGGAGTCAGAGAAGGCCGGGAACACTTCTTCCGAGGGAAAGAATCACCATCCGAACAGAGGGCTCCGACAAGGCATGAATACAGACACACCTGACGGAGGGGGGGCTCCATGCCTGGAAACTGACGCACAGGATTTGCCCCGTAATTGTCAGCACAGAGGCAGAGTGGACCACTTGTCAAATCTGGGACAACTGAGCATCATCAAGAATAATGAATGATTAGGGGCCAGATGTGGTCCCAGAACTTTGGGAGGCTGACGCGGGCAGATCACCTGAGGTCAGGCATTCAAGACCAGCCTGACCAACATGGTGAAACCCCGTCTCTACCAAAAATACAAAAACTAGCCATGTGTGGTGGCATGTGCCTGTAATCCCAGCTACTTGGGAGGCTGAGGCAGGAGAATCGCTTGAGCCGGGCAGGTGGAGGTTGCACTGAGCTGAGATCGCACCACTGCACTCCAGCCTGGGTGACGGAGAGAGACGCCATCTCAAAATAATAATAGCAATCATAGCGACTAGGTTTGACAGAAACACATAGAAGACCCACATGCCCCTGTTCACAGCAAAATTATTCACAGCAGCCAGGAGACGTCCACCCATCAACACATGAATGGCTAAACAGAGACACGTGGGGATGTCATTTAGCCTTAAAAAGGAAGGAAATTCTGACACGTGCTCAAACAGGAATGAGCCTCGAGGACATCACAGGAAGTAAAACAAGCCAGACATCAGGACAAGGCGTGTGTGATCGCACTTCTCACGAGGAAACCCGAGTAGCCACATTTGTAGAGACTGAAGATGAAAGGGCGGCTGCCGGGCTGGGCGCAGGGAGGAGTGGGAAGTGCCTGTGGCCAGGACACGCTCTGTCTTGCACCATGAAACGTTTCCGAAGATGGACGGTGGGGTGGCCGCGCCGCAGGTGAAGGTACCTGTACGCTTAGAAATGGCTAAGATGGTAATTTGTAGGTTGTGTCGGTTTTACAATAAAATAAATACCTGTGAGTGCTTAATAATCGAGAGAGAAATAAATAAATCTGAATCCTGCTCACCTCTGCAGGGGCCACATGCTTCTGTTAGGAGCAAACGCAGTCCCCTGGGGATGAGGGGAAGCTCTTTCTTGGAACACTGCCCCTTTGCACACCTAAGGAAGCAGCTGGTGGAGTGGGATTTGAGTGGGTGGGCAGGCTCCAGACAGGCTGACCAGGGTGCCAAGGGACCCCACTCGGACCTCCCACGCTGAGCACCCGCACCAGACAGGCTGCCCCGAGCCTCACCAAGGCTTTCAAATCCACTTCCTCGGCGTCTCGGCCCACTTTCTGTTGTTAGAATACTTCAGACTGGGAAGCTCATAATGGAAAGACATCTTTCCCATCTGTTTTAGAAGCTGGGAGTTTTCTGTGAGGCCACAGTCCTTGCATCCTATTGGATGAGGGCCCATCCTCCTGACCTCATTAACAGAATGACCTAGAAGCCCATCCGGAAACACTCCCATTGTGGATTCCACTTTTAACATGTGAGCTTCTGGGGCACAGGTTCAAACCACAGCCCCAGGTACAGGATACAGGCGGCAGAGGCAAGATTCAGCTGAGCAAATCCAGCGGGGGACCGTTACAGACAACGGCCAGCTTGCTTCAACGGCTAGTCCTGTGGGTTAAAGAAGGCGGGCCCAGCCGGGCATGGTGGCTCATGCCTGTAATCCCAGTATTTTGGGAGGCTTAGGTGGGTGGATCACCTGAGGTCAGGAGTTTGAGACCAGCCTGGCCAACATGGTGAAACCCCATCTCTACTGAAAACACAAAAATCAGCCGGGCCTGGGATGTGCACCTGTAATCCCAGCTGCTCCGGAGGCTAAGGCAGGAGAATCGCTTGAACCCAGGAGGTGGAGGTTGCAGTGAGCCGAGATCACGCCACTTCACTCTAGCCTGGCGACAAAGCAAAACACAGTCTTGAAAAAGAGGAAAAAAAAGAGTAGGCACCTCTCTGACAGAAAGAGACTTAAAGACTTAAGGAAGTGAGGCTTTCTTGCTTTCTTTCTAAACACAGCTTCACAGGCACCTCCGCTGGCTGAGCTCTGCCCAGAGCTGAAAGTGGACACAGCGGCCCCCACCTTCCTGGGTCCCTGAGTCAAACAAGAAGGACCCCCGGGGGGAGTGACAACATGACCTTTGGGTCCTAGCACCTCCTGTGCCCACCTGGCCCCACCCTGTCTGTCTGCCCTGTTGGCCAGGAGCTTCCCTATGGCTGAGACTCTTGGGCAGCTCAAATGCCACCTCTGTGCCAGTCTGGATGGGGGTCCTGAGACCCCACAGCCCTGCCTGCTGCTCTGCCCTCGCCTCCCCTTCACTCCAGCTCTGCCCAGTGGTGTCCTGGCCTGGCCAGTTGCCTCCATAATGGAGACCTTCCCAGAGTGCTGCAGGCATGGTGTACAGTGGCTCCCTCCAGGGTCACCTTGGTGCTGGATGTTTGCTGATCCTGTGCTGGGCAGCCTGCATCTGTCTTGATGCCCTGTCTTGGCAAGGGCACACCACCCTGAGCAATGGGCTCAGATGTGCCTGAGACCCCACATCAAGCCCCGTTCACTCCCTGTCACCCACCTGTTACTGGAGGTGCATTTGGGGACTCCTGCCCCAGCCCCCACCCCTCCCTGAGCCTGGCTGCCTGCTCCTCACACCATCCATTCTCCACACACTCCCCCTTGCCTAGGGCCCCGGACAGACCTTGGCAGGCTTCCAGAGCTGGCTGTTCAGGGTTTTTAGTGCCTGGCAAGAGCAAGACCCTCTGTCCGCCCGGGAGCCTGGGAGGTGGAGCAGGCCTCCCTGGCCCCGTGCCCAGGGGCTCTTCCAGGGGTCCCTCGCCCCATCCTCCCAGCTTCTTCCAGCTTTGCCCCTGACATGTCTTGCTCTGACCTCCCCTCCCTTACTCCTGGCCTCATCTCCCTGGGCCCAGGCCTTCACAGGCTGACTAGACAGGTTAGCAAGCAGTCACTGACTCTGGCTTCTGGCGAGAGGGGTCCAGACGGGCCAGGACAATGGCTGGTGAACCCCTGGACATCAGGGAAGTTTCTGGTGCACACAGTGGGGGTGCAGCTGCCGCCATGTCTGCAGCTGGGCCCTCACCACTGCTGTGCCTGGGCCGCAGGGAGTGTTATCGAGCCTGATTCAGCCTGGGGATATTCTGGTGACTTCCTGTCTGAAACTTGCTCTCTTGCTGGGAGGGGTTCTCTGGGTATGAATCACTTTGCTGGGGTCAGGGCAGGGAGAACCAGCTCTGTGATGGGCTTCTCAGAGACAACACCTCAGGTGCCGCACAGCTCGGGGCTGCCCCCACTGGTCCTGGAGGCCCTGTGGGACTAGGCAGGGCCGGTCCGCACCCACTAGGCTCCCAGTGTTTGTACTCCCAGGCTCCTTCCCACTCCCACCCCAGCCTGATTCTCCACGTGGCAGAGGCAGGGGAGCCCATACATGACCACCAGCCCCCAGCTCATACCCACAGCTCCTGCCACCCAAGGAGCCCACCTTTCCTTTCCCAGACCCCAGTGAAGGACCCGAGAAGGGACCCAGCTGCCCTCATTTGAATCAGCTATCCCCGGACAGCCTGGCAAAGGCCAGAAGGCATGGAGGGTGACAATAGCCTGAGCTGGGTCCGGGCATCACTCCTGGACCCCTCAGCTGGGGGTGCAGAGGAGCCCTGGCGAGCATGACAGACCATCCAGTGCGGCGCAGGGAGGGGCAGGTCCTGGGGGCTGCTGGGGCCACCAACAGGAGCCAACAGCTGTCCCTGGCCATCACCCTCACTGGCTGATGTGCACTTTGCCTGTTGTTGCTCCAAGGGTGGGGCTGTCCTGGCCCAAAGACCCGGGAGGCCAGTGGCCCCAGGAGCAGTGACCTGTGGGTGGTGTGTTTGCACCAGATCCCTGCAGGATCACAGCCCCCTGGGCTGTTTCTGGAAAGCCAAGGTGGTCCCTGCTCTGAGACCTGCACCTCTCCGCTGGGGTGGAGCGAGCCCAGCTTTCGAGGGACCCCACTGCCACACATGCAAAGCCTCCGAAATCGCTGTTCAGAGGCAGCCTCCAGCCACTCGGTCTGCAGCAGGGGCAGCTGTGATCCACGTGGCTGGGGGAATGTGCGGCGGGGGGCTCAGCCTCCACCGGGCTCTCCTGCCTGAGCGCACCCAACCATCATTGTGAGGTCTTAGCTCAATGACGACGTCCCTGCTGCAGTGCTGGGCAGTGTCACTTGGAGACATTTGTGGGCCCAGCTCCCAGCCCGGCCCTGCCCCCACTGCTGAAAGAGCCTGGGTTGGACGGGAGTGGGCACCCGGGGGGGGGTCTCTGACCTGAAACCCAGAAGCAGCCTGGGGGTGAGTGGGGCTGTGGGTGCTGTCCACAGTCAGCTGTCATCTTTCAAGGACATCAGGCCTACTAGGGCCAGGAGTACCACAGTGAGGGAGACTGTCCCAGGCACCCCACCTGCCACCCTCCAGTTCCCACAGGCCCCTCACAGAGAAGCCACCTGCAGGGCTCTGGCAGGCCACCCTTGGTTCTGGATGAAGGCGGCTTTGGGGTAGGGCTGGGATGGAATGTAGAGCGTATGTCAGCTGCTCTTCCAGCAAGGCCCTGCCCCAGGGAGAGGGAGGCAGGGAGGGGAGGTTGCTGGTGTGCAGGGTCTGTGCCTGGCCTTCCAGGACATGCAGGTACCATCCTGGTCCCGGGGCTGCAGTGAGCGCACTTGGCCTCTCCGCTCCTGGCACCCCAGACAGGTGGGAGGACATAGCCTCTGGGAAGCCACCTGCTCTGTGAGAGCCGGCAGCACCAGGCTGAGCTGCAGAGGAGCTGGGTTTGTCTTTCCAGGACCCCTGTGCTGTGTGTCCTGCCATGCCTGTCTGGGGATACAAAGGCCCCAGCTGCTGCGTGGGAGCTCCTGAGTGAGTGGAGCCTGCTATAAGCGCTGTTTTTGCCAAGAGAGGTGGCTCTGGGGTTTCCTGCCACTCCCGCCCCCAGGAAGGTGACAAGGCCATGCTATTATCACCAGACAGATACCCCAGCCCCGGTTGGCCAACCCCAAGCTCAGCCCTGTTTGTGGTTAGGGGAGTTCTAGAGAGAACATAGTTGGACCCCTGCTACTTCCTGAAACCTCAGCGAGGACTGCAGGGAGGGTGCGAGGTCAGCCGTGCAGGCGGGACCTTGGGTAAGTCACTGGGCTCTGCGTGCTGGGGAGGGAGCCTGTGGGGCCCTGGGATGGGGCTGGGGGCTGGGAGCCAGGGGATGGTCAGCAGGGGACCTGAAGGCAAAGGTGATTTGTTGGTAAAGATGGAGGCTTTGTTGAGGGTTCTCAATCTGGGGTCCTTCCCAAGAGAGAACTGAGGACCCCCAGTGACCACAGGTGTGGTGGGGCCGGAGGATTTGGGGGGCCGGGACAATGGCTTCCATTATACCTTTGTGGCCGCCACCCTCCACAAGACTTGCTTCTGGAAAAGGCTTGCCTTGGCTACTGGTCCAGACGGTGGTGAGTCGGGGGCAGGACTTTGTCCCTGGACTCTCTCCTTAAACATTTGCTTTCATGACTGGTGGGGGCATTGAGGGGCCGGGCTTCTCTCTGGGGCCTGTGCTGCTTTTGGGGTTACACGGAGGGAGAAGCAGGGTGTTGGGGGCTGTGCCGGGGTGAGGGGCAGTCAGCCCAGATGCGTGGCAAGATCCTGGGGATGGGCAGGTCACAGGCCTCCAGGGCGGCGTCTGGTGCACTTGGCACAGTGTGTGTGTGTGTGTGTTGGGGGGACGTACATTCTGTCAAGTGCAGGACGTGGAGTTACACCACTGCAGGGACTGAGACACGCTGAAGACTGGCCCGTCGGGCTGGGCACAAAATGACGTTTCAGGAGATTGGCCTGAGAGGTGGGAGGGCAGAGAGTCCTAGAAGAAGATAGCATGGGGATCGGATAAGATGAGGTGGGATAAGATAAGAACTCAGAATGCCTGAAAGGCTCACCTCATCAGCCATCTCTGAAAGATACATTTTAAAAATCTATCAAATTGGGGCCAGGCACGGTGGCTCATGCCTGTAATCCGAGCATTTGGGAGGCCGAGGCGGGTGGATCACTTGAGGTCAGGAGTTCAAGAGCAGTCTGGCCAACATGGTGAAACGCATCTCTACTAAAAATAAAAAAATGAGCCAGGCATGGTGGCTCGTGCCTGTAGTCCCAGCTACTCCGGAGGCTGAGGCAAAAGAATTGCTTGAAACCAGGAGGTGGAGGTTGCAGTGAGATTGAGCCATTGCACTCCAGCCTGGGCAACAAGAGCAAGACTCCATCTCAAAGAAAACCAAAAAAATCTATCAAACTGGAGGAGCCGGGTGTTGGAGCTGGTGACTCAACAGCTCCCTCCCTGGGGTTTGTCTCAAATGTGACGCAGAAACGAGGTCACAGGTTTGCCTGGCGCCAAAGCAGGTGGGAGTGAAAGATGGAAATGTCTAGGAATGCCCAGCAACCAAAACACAGCTTAGAAATTACAGGCAAACCCACAAGACAGACCTCAGCAGCCTTAGGAGCCATTTGCAGCCAGCGGGTGGAATGAGGAACTGCTCCCTGCACACGGCGTGGGCCAGGCTCTTTCTCTGTCCTTTTGTGCCTCTCTGAAAATTTCCAGAACAAAAAGTTACAAAGTGGTGGCTCACACCTGTAATCCCAGCACTTTGGGAGGCTGAAGTGGGCAGATCGCTTGAGCCCAGGAGTTTGAGACCAGCCTGGGCAACATAGCGAAACCTCGTCTCTGGGAATAAAAACAATTTGGGAGGCTGAGGCAGGAGGATCATTGGAGCCCAGGTGTTTGAGACCAGCCTGGGCAACATGGCAAACACTGTTTCTACTAAAAATACAGAAAAAAATAATTAGCCTGGCATGGTGGTGCGCCTGTCAAGTCCCAGCTACTCAGGAGACTGAGGAAGGAGAATTGCTTGAACCTGGGAGGTAGAGGCTGCAGTGAGCTGAGATCGCACCACAGCACTCCAGCCTGGGCGACAGAGCGAGACTCCATCTCAAAAAAGAAAGAAAAGAAGAAACAAAGAAAGAAGGAACGAACACAGGTTCACGGAGGAACACAGGAATGCGTGCATAGCGGCCTCGTAAGCTGGCGTGCTGAGAGTGAGGTAAGGCAGGCTGGACACGGGGGAGAGAGCAGCAGAGGGCTGGCCTCGGGGGCTGCCAAGGTGTGGCTTGAAGACGAAGCTGGACCAGGACACAGTTGCCCAGCATGGAGGCTGGGAGATGGGGCTGTGGTCGTGTGCTGAGGGGAGGTGGAGGCAGGGCCAGGGCCAGCAGAGGCGGGAGATGCAGATGGGGCTCAGGGGTGGGTGGACGGGGTTGTCAGGCTGACCTGGGCCCACCCACACTGTGGTCTTGTGGCTGGAGTCATCAGAGGGACCTCGCCATGGCCATCATGTCTGGCCACGCTGCCCTGAATCCAGCTGGAGCTGGACAGTGATGGGGGGTGCCTCAGCCTGTCATAGTCCCTCAGAGCAGACCAAGGACAGAGCCCCCGAGTCCACCAGGCCAGGCTGGCATTGCTGGTGCTCTGGGCATGGTGGGCTGTCCCCTGAGCTCTGGAGGGCTGGGGCACCTTGCTGCTGATTGAGGAGACGGAGGCTGCGTGGGGGGCCATTTGCACAGGGCTTACCCTCCCAGCCACCCACCCTGCAGCTGAGGGGAGCCCCGCCAGTAGGCCCGACACGTGGGGCAATGAGAAGAAGGAGTGGTCCCCATGCACAGCTGGAGGGCTCCTCCCACGCCAGGAGGTGTCACCTGCTTCCTGATGTGGGAAAACACAGGAAGCCTCTGCCTGGCCTTGTCCTTCCACCTGAAGACCCAGCCCCGGGGAAGCCGAGAGAGGCCCCGGGCCCCACTTCCCTTCCCAAGGAAGAGCAGTGCCTGAAGCGCAGGCGACCTGCTGTCCCTGTGCCCCTTTCTGTGGCGGAAACAGCCCTGGCCACTGACTGGGATAGGCCGCAACACGGCAGCTGGCAGGTGGGACCGCTGGGTTGGCTGGCAAGAGGACCCTGAGCCCCCATCCTGGGCTCACTCACCTCGAAAAGAGGCAGAGGCTCCGAGAGGCAGCAGGAGTGGCGGGTGCAGCACAAGAGTGGTGAGCAGGTGCTGGCAGGACCCGGGACCCCGGTCCAGGAAGGCCCTTGAGGAGGTTGGTGACAAAGCCTAGAGGTGGTCTGAGGAGCAAGGGCTGGTGCAGGGCTCCCCTGGTGCCCAAGCCTGGCTGGCGTGCGTGGTGAGGAGCGGGACCTGGTGCAGGGCCTTGCTGCTGGGCCCACGTCCTGGTGGGAGGCCGGTGCCAGGGCTGCCCCGCCCTGGCTTGTTCTCCTGCTGGGCCCACTGACTCTTTCCAGGCATCCTCTCCAGGCTGTCATGCCCAAAGGTTAGGCACGTGCCAAGATGTGGACACTGGCAGCCCGGGCTGTGTGGGCCACATGGGATGGGCTTGATAGGCAGGTGGCTCCGGCTCCCACCCCGGGCCAGTCTCTGCTCTCAGCATATGGCCCGGAGCCCAGAGGGGCCTTGTCTCAGGACGCTGGGCCGGCAGGGGAGTGTGCGTTTTCTGCTCAGCTGCCACTTCCTTCGGTTTTGCAGAAGTGCTTGCAGCACTGTGCACAGGGTTGTTGGCTGGCATGGGGGAGGACTGGGTGGCCCAGCCCTGTACCAGCAAGAGCGTGTCCTCCCAGGTTTGGGAGGGTTTCCAGAACCCTTGGTCCAGTTAAAGTGAGGGCGGCAGACTCCCCGGGAGCCCCTCCCTGGGCGGCTCAGCCATTCTGATGGGGCCCAGGGGCCTCAGGTAGCGGCTCCATGGGCTCACTCCTGCTCATTTTCAGGGAGAGGCCCTGCCTTGTGTTATTTAGAATTTGAAAGGCAGGGAAGGGCCGGCTGCAGAAGCGGCATAGACACCAGGGAGCAGGAGCATGCAGGCCTCCAGGGCCACTGCGCGGCTCGGCTGCTGAGGAGGGAAGCCCCCCCATACCCCTGGGGCTCAGAGGGAGCTGGACTGGTCCCAGGAGGCTCTGGCGTGCCCCCAGTCCACTCTGCCCCTCCCCTGCTGGAGTCGGCCTTCCTTGGCCCTCCTGGTTCCGGCTCACTGCTTCCTCACCTACTGATTCCCTCTGTTTTGGGCATGACCAGAGAGCCCTGCATCTCTTGCTGGGCCTTGGAGCTGGGCGCAGCAGCCAGACGACACAGCCACACGAATCTTGGCGAAGCAGCAGCTGGGAGGGCAGCGCGAGGCACACAGGCCCCCGAGGGAGGGTCTGAAGACCCTTAGCGCCATCCCACCACCACCACCCAGGGGACACCCTGCCATCTCCACCCAGGGGACACCCTGCCATCTCCACCCAGGGGGCCGTCAGCCATCTCCACTCAGGGGGCTGGCCTGAGATGCAGGGAGAAGTAGATACTTCAGCCACTGGCAGGGTAGGGGCAGAATCAGGAGGCCCAGGGCCCCTCTGGCCAAACCGCCTGTCCTGGGAGGGGACTGACTGCCTGACTGGCTTCCTGTGAGAGTCTCGGCTGACAGAGGGCAGCACCGGGCAGTGTGGGGTGGGGGTTGGGCCTGGCACCAGGCAGGCAGGATTGGAGCCAGTAAGGCAGCTGCTGGGCTCAGCCTCCATCCTTGCACGGGGTCCAGAAACAGTAGGGCGAGACCCTCAGGCTTTGCAGGGCTCTGGGCGAGGCATAAACACCGTCTGAGGATGGGTTTAGGGCACTTGCCTCCCTGCAGACCCTCTTTGGCTGCTCAGGATGATGCCTGTTTTCAAGGCACCTCAGGTTAGGGAAGGAAGCAGAGGGACAGGTCCCTGGGTGCCCTGAGCGGTCCGCTGCCCACCCCCCAGGCCTCCCTCCTCCAACCCCTCATGCCGTGGGTGACACAGCTTCCAGGCCAGGTGCACACCACACCTCGGGTAGTTACTTCACCAGGAAAAATTCCTAGAAGGGGTTTAGCCGGGTCAAAAGTTAAAGCACATTTAAGATTTTCGGAAACATACTGCGAAATTTTGCTGCAAGCCGATTCATACTCCATCAGTCCCGTAGAAGGATACCCATCTTCTCTCACACACTATGAATTAAAAAGTTCTTTCTTTTTGCCAACATGGTAGGCCAAAAAGGTTTTAAAGGACCGCCTTTCGGATGTTCGTGTTTGCATTTTTTTGATTAGAAGTGGAGTTGAGCATGTTTCACATTTTAGGAGCTTTTTTTTTTGAGACAGAGTCTCTCTTTGTCGCCCAGGCTGGACGGCAACAGTGCAATCTCAGCTCACTGCAACCTCTGCCTCCTGGGCTCAAGCGATCCTCCCACCTCAGCCTCCCGAGCAGCTGGGACTACATGTGTGCCATCATGCCTGTTTATATTTTTTAAGTATGGGGTGTCACTATATTTGCCCAGGCTGGTCTTGAACTCCTGGACTCAAGTGATCCTCCTACCTCAGCCTCTCAGAGTGCTGGGATTTACAGGTGTGAGTTACCATACACAGCCTCTTGGGCTGTGAAAGCTCATCAACTTTCTTTCTCTCCCAGCTTTATAAAGGTATAATTGACAGCCGGGCGCGGTGGCTCACTCCTGTAATCCCAGCACTTTCAGGGGCGGAGGTGGGCAGATCACCAGGTCAAGAGATCAAGACCATCCTGGCCAACATGATGAAACCCCATCTCTACTAAAAACACAAAAATTAGCTGGGCATGGTGGCACATGCCTGTAATCCCAGCTCCTTGGGAGGCTGAGGCAGGAGAATCACTTGAACCAGGGAGTTGGAGGTTACAGTGAGCCGAGATCGCACCACTGCACTTTAGCCTGGCAACAGAGCAAGACTCTATGTCAAAAAAAAAAAAAAAAAAAGATATAACTGACAAACAAGAATTGTGCATAGGACAGGCGCAGTGGCTCACGCCTATAATCCCAGCACTTTGGGAGGCCGAGGTGGATAGATCATTTGAGATCAGGAGTTCAAGACCAGCCTGGCCAACATGGTGAAACCCTGTCTCTATTAAAAACACAAAAACTGGCCAGTCACAGTGGCTCACGCCTGCAATCCCAGCACTTTGGGAAGGTGGATCACCTGAGACCAAAAGTTCGAGACCAGCCTGGCCAATGTGGAAAACCTCGTCTCTACTAAAAATACAAAAACCAGCTGGGTGTGGTGGTGTGTGCCTGTAATCTCAGCTACTTGGGAGGCTGAGACAGGAGAATCGCTTGAAGCCAGGAGGTGGAGTTTGCAGTGAGCCGAGATCGAGCCATTGTACTCCAGCCTGAGCAACAGAGCGCAACTCCTCTTTAAAAAAATACAAAAATTAGCTGGGTATGGTGGCAGGCGCCTGTAGTCCCAGCTACTCGGCAGGCTGGGGCAGGAGAATCATTTGAATCCGGGAGGCAGAGGTTGCAGTGAGCTGAGATTGCGCCACTGCACTCCAGCCTGGGCGACAGAGCAAGACTCCATCTCAACAACAACAACAAAAAGAATCGTACAAAGTCACGGTATGTGACGTGATGTTCTGATGCCTGTTGGCTTGGAGCCTTGCTTCTGTTTATCCTGTGGGATGCAACGGCAGATCCTTAACTTTAAAAAACACGTACAAATCAACGAGAAACTTAGTAAATTAGGAAATACTCGCTGTTTTGTCAATGAATTAATTTGTGGTCTAATCTGATTTCCCTAAAGCAATGTCAACCTACTCTTTCTCCAGGTCATTTTAAACTGTCAGAGTGAACGTCCTGATATGACCGACAAGCCGCATGACATGGACTTAGAAAGCTTATTTTAGAGCCACACTGAGAGCGGAACCAGCACAGTATGTCAGGTGAGAGAGACTTCTCCGACTTTGAACATGTAAGAGGGAGCCTGTAAGAAGTTTTCTATGAAGCAGGTTGTCTCATAATTCAAAAATTAACACATAAAAATAGATTGTCAAGATAAAAACTAGCACAGCAATAAATCTAGAGGCGCTCCATGGAGAAATGAAGGGCTGATCTCATAATTCTTTCTCGAAGTTCTAGGAAGCCAGGAACAGAAATGAGGGCATAATTGGTGTCTCCTGGGAGAGTGGCGCAGAACTGAGTCAGGGCTGTCCCCCAGGTCCCACGGGAGCCCTGCATGGTCTGGGCCACGAGGAGCTGACCGCCACCTCTCCCCATCCATGCGTCCCCTGGTACTGTTGCCCCTGCTTCTGACCCACCAGGAAGATGCTCTTCCCAGGAGGTCACTTGTGGATGTGGGGGAGTGGGGGACAACCTGCTCACCAGATGGGCAAAGAGCCACAGACAGCAAGGACCTGGTGTCCAGAGGTGAAGGTCCCAAGGCTTCATGAGGCCTGGAGCAGGGGGCGTGGGACTGAGGGGCACTGAGGCCCTGACTGAGATGACAGGGGCGACAGTGCGTGGGGTTGGGGAGGGACCACAGCGGCTCTGTGTGGGCTAAGGCTGGGAGGGGCCCCTGTGGCCACGCCGGTCTTGCCGGGGTCTCCCCTTGTGTTTCGGATTCTGGAACGCTCTACCTCCCAAGGCGTGCGACTGTCCTGATGGAGACAAGGCGTGTGTGGGGCGGAAACTGCCTCTGAGCTCAGGACTCACACAGCAAGGCTGGCGCACTCGTTTGATGGGAAAAGGGCGGTTTGGGTGAAGAACAGTGTGTGCAGACACAGGGTGGCCTCCTACCCCCACCCGAGAACTGTCTCCACTGTCCCCCGCTACAGCCCCATGTCTTGAGTGAAGTGGTGACAACCCGACGTGAGGTAGCTCAGTCACACCTACCCTCTCCCCTTCCCAGGGAGGAAGCTGAGCCAGGCGCAGGCCACTCACACCCAGAGAAACCAGACAAGGGCAGGGAGGCTGCGGGGAGACGGGAGCCCTGCACACTGGGGCGGAAGATGGGGCAGCCCAGCCACTGTGGAGGACAGCGAGGGGCGTCTCCGAAGATGAGACGGAGCTGCTGTGAGACCCAGCAATTCCAGCTCTGGGTCTGGCCCAGGAGAACGGAAAGCAGGGACGTGAATAGACCCCCTCGTGTTCCTAACAGTGTAATTCCCAGCAGCTCAGCTAAGGTGCAGAGGCAGCCCAGCGTCCATGGGCAAAGGAATGACAAGCAGAACACCGCACATGCCGGGTTTGCAGGATGGTTCACAGTGGAAGGCCACGATGGAATATAGCTATTTTTATACTTTTGATGAGACCCCAAAAGGAACACTGAATGCAATGGAATGCCGGCCTGCCTTTGAAAGGAAGGAGAATCCTGGCACACGCTGAGGCAGGAGGGAGCTTGAAGACACCGTGGCGATGGAGCCAGTGAGACGTGGAGGGGCAGGCTGAGGACATGCACAGATGCCCACCCACGTGGGGCGGTGGCAGGGGAGCCCAGCACACAGACACAAAGTGGAGTGGAGGCTGGGTGGCGGGCAGCAAATGCGGAGTGAGTGCTTTCTGGGGGCAGGTGGGAAAGTTCTTTCATTAGGGAAGATGAGAAAGTTGTGTCGCAGGATGTTGGTGATGGTTGCAGAAGGTGAATGTGCTAATCAGAAATGGTTACAATGGTAAATTCCTTGTTATGTGTATTTTGCCGCAATTTTTCAATTTTTTTTTCCTTGAGTGTCGCCCTGTCACCCAGGCTGGAGTGCAGCGGCACAATCTTGGCTCACTGCAGCTTCCATCTCCCAGGTTCAAGTGATTCTCTTGCCTCAGCCTCCCGAGTAGCTGGGACCACAGGCGCAATATCAAGCCCAGCTAATTTTTTTGTATTTTAGTAGGGATGGGGTTTCACCATGTTGGCCAGGGTGGTTTGGATCTCTTAACCTCGTGATCCGCTCGCCTCGTCCTCCCAAAGTGCTGGGATTACAGGCGTGAGTCACCGCGCCCGTCCTGGAAATGTTTTAAACACCTGAGCATGTCTAATCTGAGCGACCGTGAAGCTTCTGTCCTTTCCTCCCATGGTAAAGTCTCTCCCAGTGGTTTCCAGGGACTCCCGTCCTCACTCTTGTCTCTGTCCCACAGGAAACGCCACCCCAGTGACCACCCCGTGGGCTTCCGTGGGCCTCCCCACCAAGACCTGCAGCAACGTGTCGTTCGAGGAGAGCAGGGTGGTCCTCATCGTGGTGTACAGCGCCGTGTGCGTGCTGGGGCTGCCGGCCAACTGCCTGACCGCGTGGCTAGCGCTGCTGCAGGTGCTGCAGGGCAACGTGCTGGCCGTCTACCTGCTGTGCCTGGCACTCTGCGAGCTGCTGTACGCCGGCACGCTGCCGCTCTGGGTCATCTACATCCACAACGAGCACCGCTGGACCCTGGGCCTGCTGGCCTGCAAGGCGACCGCCTATGTCTTCTTCTGTAACATCTACGTCAGCATCCTCTTCCTGTGCTGCATCTCCTGCGACCGCTTTGTGGCCGTGGTGTACGCACTGGAGAGTCGGGGCCACCGCCGCCAGAGGACTGCCATCCTCATCTCCGCGTGCATCTTTATCCTTGTGGGGATCGTTCACTACCCAGTGTTTGAGGCGGAAGACAACGACACCTGCTTCGACATGCTGCAGATAGACAGCAGGATCGCTGGGTACTACTACGCCAGGTTCACCGCAGGCTTCGCCATCCCGCTCTCCATCATCGCCTTCACCAATCACCGGATCTTCAGGAGCATCAAGCTGAGCGTGGGTCTGAGCGCTGCCCAGAAGGCCAAGGTGAAGCACTCGGCCATCGCGGTGGTGGTCATCTTCCTGGTCTGCTTCGCCCCGTACCACCTGGTTCTCCTCGTCAAAGCTGCTGCCTTTTCCTACTACAGAGGAGACAAGAACTCCATGTGCGCCTTGGAAGAGAGGCTGTACACAGCGTCCGTGGTGTTTCTGTGCCTGTCCACCGTGAACAGCGTGGCTGACCCCATCATCTACGTGCTGGCCACAGAACATTCCCGCCAAGAAGTGTCCAGAATCCACAAGGGGTGGAAACAGTGGTCCATGAGGACAGACGTCACCAGGCTGGCCCACACCAGGGACACCGAGGAGCAGCAGTTGCCTGTGACACTGGCAGACCACACCTTCTCTGGGCCTGTGCACCTACCGGGGTCACCATGCTCCCCCAAGAGGCTGATGGAGGAGTCCTGCTGAGCCCACCGTGTGGTGCGGAGGCTGGCAGGCTGGGGTCCTGGAGCCAGCAATGTGGCTCTGGTCCACTGAGCCCCCCAGCCACAGTGCCCATGTCCCCTCTGGAAGACAAACTCCCAACTTCTCGTTTCTGAAGCCACTCCCTCGGTGACCCCTGGCCCTGGGCTTTCCCACATGGAAGGTGGCTGCATGCCAAGGGCGCAGCCATGCCTCCAGGCTGCCAGGAGCCCAGAGAGCGTGTGGCAGGCAGTGGGGCCTCTTCATCAGCAGCCTGCCTAGCGGGCTCCCTTAGCTGTGGGCAGGCAGCGGGGCTGCTGGCAGAGGTACCCGGTGGCTGCCCTGTTCGCATCAGTGCTGATGACTTTCTTTTCTAGGTATTTCTGCAAGTGTCACCCGGATGCGGTGGCACACATGGGCCCTCCAACCTCCTGCCTCAGAACGCCAGTGGGCAGCATGCCAGGGTCACCCAGCAACCTGGCAGTGCCTAGTAGGGCATAGGGCAGCCCGCCACCTCCAAGGGGGCAGAAGCCCTTGTCTGGGATTGGGTCTGTGCTGAGCCGGAAGGTCTCTCAGGAGCTGTGGGGCAGGGTGGCCAGCTGCTCCGGTTCCCAGAGGGCAGCCCAGGCATCCTCCATGGGGGACCCCAAATATCCACGTCCAGAACACCAGGTGGCAGGACAGGCATGACACAGCCACGGCAGAGCCAAGGGGTGCCAGAGTCCCCAGCTGCATCCTCGGGGAGAAGCTGGTGAGGTGTCTGCACGAGGTGGGATCCGCGCCCTCAGCCCCTCACTGAGGCGGGAGCGCAGCAGGTGGTCTGCCTGTCTGACAGAGAAAGCCAGCTCCCTGCACCCTTGGGGCCAAGTCGGACCTGGCTCTGCCCCGACAGGCCCTGCCTAGGCCAGGTCACAGTGATAACCTGGTTTCCCCATCTGTAAAATGGGGCCAATGACACCGACCTCGAGGGGGCCACCATCGGGGTCCGTCTTCCTCCCTGCACTCACCGCACTGAGCCGGCCGGCGCTGCACCTGGACAGGGAGCCCAGCGCCCAGCACAGCGCAGGGGCTTCCAGCGTGGCCACACAGCACGGTGGGGCTGAGCTGCACTTTCATTTTGTAAGGCAGCTGTGCAGTTGTTCTTCCTTTTTTTAAAAAAAATACTATTTATTTTGTTAGAGATGGGGCCTTGCTCCATTGCTCTGTTGCCTGGGCTGGAGTACAGCGGCACCATCACAGCCCACTGCAGCCTCAAACTCCTGGACTCAAGCGATCCTCCCACCTCGGCCTCCTGAATAGCCGGGACTATAGGCGTGCACCACCACACACCCAGCCAAAATCGCCGTCTTTCTTGAGAGAGTCATCAGAAAAATACAACATGGAAAAAACCTTGTCTCTTTTTTTGGTATTAAAAAAAAATAGCTGGGCGCGGTGGCTAACTCCTGTAATCCCAGCACTTTGGGAGGCTGAGGTGATCACAAGGTCAAGAGATGGAAACCAGCCTGGCCAACATGGTGAAACCCTGTCTCTACTAAAAATACAAAAATTAGCTGGGCGTGGTGGTGTGCACTTGTAGTCCCAGCTACTCGGGAGGCTGAGGTGGAAGAATCACTTGAACCCGGGAGGCAGAGGTTGCAGTGAGCTGAGATCGCACCGCTGCACTCCAGCCTGGCGACAGAGCAAGACTCTGTCTCAAAAAAAAAATTAAATAGATAAATAAAGAAAAAAGAAAAAAATTCAATTTAACCTTTGAGTGAACATTTCTCCTGCTGTGAGAGGAGTGTGCCCCTCGACTCTCGTAAGAACAGCTGTGACCAGGAACTTGAAAAGTTGGGGCTGAGGTTTTGGACTGTCTGCAATACTCAGGGCTAGGGCGGGAGGGATTCTAAGGATGTCAGGGGCTTAGCGTCCTGTGGCTACAACCAGTCACCACAACTTGGTGGCTCAAAACAGTAAAATGGGCAGGGCACGGTGGCTCACGCCTGTAATCTCAGCATTTTGGGAGGCCGAGGTGGGTGGATCACCTGAGGTCAGGAGTTCAAGACCAGCCTGGCCATCATGGTGAAACCCCATCTCTACTAAAAATACAAAAAAATTAGCTGGGCCTGGTGTCGTGCACCTGTAGTCTCAGCTACTCTGGAGGCTGAGGCAGGAGAATTGCTGGAACTCGGGGGGTGGAGGTTGCAAGTGAGCCAAGATCGAGCCATTGCACTCCAGCCTGGGCAACGAGAGCAAATTCCGTCTCAAACAACGTCAGCAACAACAAAACGGTTCTCTCACAGCTCTGAAGGCCAGAGTCCACTTTTTCATCTTTTGTTGCCACAAATAACAACCTCATTCCCATGCCAGATCCCAGCCTGCAGACTGGGCGCCATCTTACCCACCGGTAGGGACAGCAGGGCTGGGCCGAGGCAGCCAGAGTACCTGGCTCAGGTGAGGGACTGCCCAGACTGGCTGGTGTCACAGTGGCAGGAAGGTCACCAGGCATAGCCAGGCGAGGTGGCACCTGCAGTCTCAGCTGCTCAGGAAGCTGAGGCGGGAGGATTGTTTGAGCCTGGGAGGTGGAAGCTGCAGTGAGCTAGAACTGCACCACTGCACGTGGGGAGGCCAGAGGGTGCTTGGGAGCAACGTCTGTGGCGAAATTTAAAAATGGACTCCAGGCCTGCAGGACCCAGGACAGTCACCATCAGGTGGAAAAGCTCTACACAAAGACAAACCACTCAGAGTCAAACCCGAGGGGTGGGGCTCACCTGATGGGAGGGGCAGCGGGGACCTTGCCCAAGGTGAGGCCCAGATGGGACCAGGCACCCAGGAAGGGACGCCCAGCTGGCCCTTGATGCTGAGACCCTCAGGGGCGGTGGGTGGAGGGCAGCAGCTGGGGAGGTGGAGGTCACAGGCCTACCTGGCTCCTCCCTGCCCTGCAGCTAGCTGCTGTGGCAGTCAGCAAGGGTCACAGCATGGCTTTGTCATCAGCCACTGCTCACTGACCACAGGCCCTGGCCCTGTCATCTGGCTTGTGCTGCTGGTGGGAGCGTCTGAGGTCACCAGTGCTGGGAGCCGCCCCGTGCGGAGTCTGTGCTCACTCACTCTCACTATCCGCCTCTTCCCTGCCCCGCTCTCCCTCGCTCAGGCACCCCTCCACAAGGTGCTCCCCAGGGCACCCCAGGTAGTGAGGAGGCCACGGTGAAGCCCACTGCGACCCATGCACAGAGGCAGGAATGAGGAAGGAAGCCCTGAGGGCCACCTCTGCCCTGGGCACTGGGCCCTGCCCTCCAGGCTCAGGCCACAGTTGCCCCTTCAGACACTCTTCAGACAGGGCCTGGGAGGGGCAGCGCTGGCATCTGCTCACTGCCCTGTCCTCCGCCCTGTCGAAATGGTGACAGGGAGAGAGGACCATCCAGACTCCTGACCTATAGAATAGCTCTCCCAGGTCCTACTGCGAGGAAGACACCTGCACGCCAGGGGCAGGAGCGGTTCAGAAGCAGCACCGCAGGCTCTCCGGAAGACACTGTGTCCCAGGAGACCCGTCCACGCCCACCCGCCTCTGACCATCCCCACTCCGCCTGGCATGCAGCGACAGCCCAGGGAGAGGCTGCCTAGCCAGGGAGGCAGGGAGCGTTTTGCTGGGAATTCTGGAATCCTCCTGCCTGGAGTTGGTCTGGGGGAGCACAGCCTGGGGAGGCCACATACTCGTGGCCCCACAGCCTCCTGGCCTTGTGGGAGGGACATGGCTTGAGGGGACAACATAAGGGGGCATCGCATATTGAGGGCTCTTTTTTTTTCTTTTGAGACAGAGTCTTGCTCTGTGACCCAGGCTGAAGTGCCGTGATGCGATCTCGGCCCACGGCAGCCTCCACCTCCTGGGCTCAGGTGATCCTCCCACCTCAGGCCCCTGAAGAGCTGGGACCACAGGCATGCACCACCACACCCAGCTTTTTTTTTTTTTTTGTAGAGATGGGGCCTCTCTGTTTTGCCCAGGCTGGTCTTAAACTTCTGGACTCAAGCTTAAACTTCTGCCTCAGCCTCCCAAAATGCTGGGATTACAGGAGTGAACCACCACACTCAGCTTTTTTTTTTTTTTTTTCTTTGAGACAGGGTGTTGCTCTGTCACCCAGGCTGAAGTTGAATGCAGTGGTGCAGTCTCAGCTCACTGCAGCCTCCGCCTCCTGGGCTCAGGCGATCCTCCCACCTCAGCCTCCTGAGTCGCCACCATGCCCAGCCGCCCAGCTAATTTTTACATTTTTTGTAGGGATAGGATCTCACTGTGTTGCCCAGACTGGTGTTGAACTTCTGGCCTCAAGCAACCCACCCGCCTTGGCCTCCCAAGGTGTGGGACCCCAGGCGTGAGCAGTCCCAGCCCTAGCCCTGCTCTTGGGCAGTGAACGTGGGAATGAGCGCACACTGAGTGATCGCCTGTCGGGAGGGACAGCTCACCATGGACAGGCGATTCCAGCACTTGGCGCCTCCTTTCTTCACCCGTAATTTGGGAATGGCGACTGCCCCACAGACCTGGTGGGGCATTAATTCAGATGATACACGTCCGACGCCTGAGATGAGCCTGGCGCAGAGCCGCGCTCAAAAGCAGAGTCGATCTTCATGTAGCTTCCCCCTGGGACTGCCCCGTGGGAATCCTGCCCGGACAGGCGGCCTTCCATGAAAGGTCCGCCTGTTCCCAAGAACGGCCCTAGAGGGCGCCAGGCGGCGGGCCCTGAGCAGCTCGGGCAGGCTTCGCTTGCCCGCGAGTTGCCGCCCGCGGCCGCCAGGGTGCAGCAGCTGCACAGGGCGCCCGTGGGCCTGGAGGTCCTTCACAGGCTGTGTCCAGACCTTTCCTGACTCCTTACCTGCCTGTGCAGGCACTCGTGGGAAATGCTTGGTATTGCTTTGTGTGTATGCATTCATCTAGCTTTTTATTTTGAAATAGGTCCCAATTTACAGAGAGTGGCAAACAGTGCAGAGAGACCTGGATACTTCTGCCACACAATCCCCCAGCCGTGCACATGGCCCTGCTATTCCTTCTCTGGCTCCCGCTTCGGTGGCTCTTGAGAATAAGTTTCGGACTTCAGGCTTGCTCCCCTAAGCCGCTCAGAGAGTATTTTGGAAATAAACAAACTCTCTCCCAAGCAATTGCAGTGAACCTTGAAAAATCAGGACGCCACCAGTGACCCTTCAACCCTGCAGAGCCCCTGCCAATTTTCCCACTGTCTCCATGACATCCTTTGTGGGTCTTTGTGGGACGGCCCTCCTCGCTCTAGCCTTATCTGTTTGCTGTGGGGTCTGCATTTCCAGGAGGATCCCTCTGCGTGGTGAGACTTTCCTCTGTTAGCATCCTACCGGAGGCCACAGGGTCACTCTGGCCATCGTGGTGATGGCGACCCTCGTCACTTGGGTACGATGGTGTCTGCCACTGTCCCCCACTGGAAAGTTTTAGTCAGCACTTTGCATTGATTAATGAATAAGCAATTATTTCATCATTTCTGGGGAGAGGATTTGAGGTTTCCACTATGAGGTCAGGCTCACCCTTCTCTCTCATGGATGTGTGTGTGTCTCCATCCATTTTGTCTTGCTATAAAAGATTAGTTGAGACTGTATAATATATAAGAAAATAAAAGAGTAAAAGTTTACTTAGCTCACGGTTCTGCAGACTGAGAAGTTCAAGGTCATGGCACTGGTGAGGACTTTCATTCTGTGTCACAAAATGGTAGAGAAGGCTGGGCGTGGTGGCTCATGCCTGTAATCCCAGCACTTTGGGAGGCTGAGGCCGGCGGATCACCTGAGGTTGGGAGTTCAAGAGCAGCCTGGCCAACATGGTGAAAAACCCTCTCTCTACTAAAAATACAAAAATTAGCCAGGGCTGGTGGCGCACATCTATAATCCCATCTACTCAGGAGGCTGAGGCACAAGAATCACTTGAACCTGGGAGGCAGAGGTTGCAGTGACCCGAGATCACACCATTGTACTCCAGCCTGAGCGACAAGAGCAAAACTCCATCCCCCTCCCCCAAAAATAATAACCCAAGATCTGGGCACTGGGGGTGCTCACTGTTTGCAGAGTGCAGAAAATATGTATGTCTATACACACACATACGGATATACATCTGTATTTCCATATTGAAATGGATTTGGACTGGCATCTCCAGTTTCAATCTGCCCAGACAGAGATTGGTCCAGCCTGACCACTTTCCTAACTTCAACTCCGGTCTCCAGAACGAGAGTCCCCACACTCTGTATCCCGCGTGCTTCTACTTATGTGTGCGATCCCCCGCCCTCTGCAAGGTCTCGTTCCAGGCTCCCTTGGCAGGCTAAAAGGTGGGCCTCATGGAGGAGGAGGGAAAGGGGAAGTAGGAAAAAGGAAGAAATGAAGGGCCCGAGGTTTCACTCTGTTTGCAGGTGAATAGGTGAGCCTGCCAGTGTTATGAACATGGGTAAAAGACATGAGACACCTGGGTCTGAGACAAAGACTTTGTTACTCACAC